CGCCCCCACGGCTGAAAGGGCGAGCATGTTTGGTGGGACGGGGATTCGAACCCACGACCCACAGATTGCGAGTCGAGTGCCTTAACCACCTGGCCATGCCGGGCCCCAAATAAGGAGAAAAGATCATTCCTGAATGAGGAGAAAGAAATTTGCCCGACAAGTTGGGTGTAGGAGGCCTACTAAGCATGTTGTAATTCTCAACATGTTGAACAATAGCTGCAACAACCTTGACAGTTAATGAGCCTCCAAAGCCACAGCAGAAATAATGCCTTACTCTAAACAACATCTCACACTTGGGACTAAGTATAAATCACCATCATTCGTGAATTCATGATAAAAAATTAAAGTTTTTGAAATAAAATGTAAAAAAAAAAAACTTTCATTAATGATGCAAATCTCAATAAATTAAACATAGGCAAGAAATTTCAGCATGTCTGTGCCTGACCATGCCCACAAAAAGAATTAAGATTCACGAGTGCAAATGCATATGGGGAGTTCAATCAGTGGAAGGTTGTGCCATTTCTCCGTGAAATTCTCTCACAAAAATGAAAATTTTTGTTCTTAGTAAGCTTTTTTCCTCAGATAGACCATTTAAGCAAATATGATGACTGACAGATCGATGTTGATATGAAATTTTTAGGAATTGCAAAAAAAAAATACCTTTTAACATAATGTACCCTTGAAAATAAAGATTTGGATATATAAATATATTTTTTCTAAGATTAACTATTCAGGAGACACAGCATAACAGACAGACCTTGGCTATTATCAGACAAGTCATCATGTAGTTGGACAATATTCAGCCCCTCATAAATTTTGCTCAAGAAACCTATATTTAATTGGCATATCTAATGTTTATGAGACATGTATTTTTAAGGTAAAAAATGTTCAGCAGAAGTAGTCACTAATCATCCTGTCAACAAGTTTCTCAAAGAAGAGCATTTACTCAGGTATACAAACAATTTAATAAAACCATAACAAAAACTTTCACATGTATTTATCATCATAAAACAAACTTCTAGAAAACGTCATTTTAATTATATGACTAAGGCCCATAAAGAAAAGGCCAATAGAAACAAAGCACGTTTATGGAAAGACAAAATATCTTAGTTGAATTCTCTATATATAATATTTTACAATTAATTTGTCCAGTTTTATTTGCTATTTGTTGCATTCTTAAATGCATATATAAAATGAACAACCAAAATAAGGCAACAACATGCCTTCTTTCACTGTTAACAAAATGACCATGAATGAAGAAAGGTTCTGAAATATAAAGAATGATATGTAAACACTTAAATAAAGGTAGTACCATTAATAACAGTAACACATTTAAAAATATGACTAATAAAACACCAGCAGGATAAAAACTGAGAAATTATGAGATTACAAAATAAATACAGCCTAGAACTCAATCCTTAACTATATAGCTTACGTAGCTTGCCTTTACCTTTTTCTAAATATAGCAAATCACTTTCAAACTCAATTAATATGAAAATCTAAGAGCATCAAGTTTCATTTTCCACTTTCAACTCTTTAGACCAGCATTTCCCAAAATGTGTGACAAACCATTCAAGGGGACACAAATGATCTCTTGGAAGGTAGAGCCAATAATGTAATAATGCAAAATTAAGCATTTTAATGTGTGACACACCATTCAAGGGGACACAAATGATCTCTTGGAAGGTAGAGCCAATAGTACAATAATGCAAAATTAAGCATTTTAATGTGTGACACACCATTCAAGGGGACACAAATGATCTCTTGGAAGGTAGAGCCAATAGTACAATAATGCAAAATTAAGCATTTTAATACATTTTTTTTTTATTAATGAAAATAATAAGTAATTACTACAACACATATATAATTTTAACGTGTATTCATGTATTATATCTTGTCACTTCACAGTTTCACTCATTTGAAACAAAAAAAAGAGGGGGAGGCGTGCAAGACACCATATTTATTCAAAGGAGGCGTGGATGAGAAAAGTTTGGGAAATGTTGCTTTGGATCTTTTTTTATGCATACACTGCTCTGACAAAATATTATTAAATTTAAAGAATTCTACTTAACATTATGGGAAAACAAGAAAAGTATAAAATTAATGTACAACCTAGCTACAATATCAAAGAAATGTATTTTAAATTTTGCAAAGGTTGGTTGATATTTAAAGGAGCAAACCCTTTTAGTTGTTATTCTATATTGTTCTCATAAACATTATTTAACTATGTAGTAAGTAGAAGAAGATTGTGACTATCAAACTCACTATATTAATTTAATTGAAATAAAAGAATTTTCTAGGTTATAATGTAAATATTTACAGTAAGTTGAGAAAAACAAGCTAAATTAAGTTGATATTGATATAACAAGAAACTGAAGAAGAATACTAGTTCAACTACTAGAAATTACTCTTAAACCCACAATTTATGAAAAAAAAAAGTTGTCAGACAAACAAATTTGACGTATAAAAACATTTATTCTTACAGTATATTCTGTTCAATGCCATTATTTGCTAAAAAAGAAACAACACAAATTTTATATTCATCTTATTGAAAAAGTTATTTTAATTTAAATGTTTAAAACACCACATCATTTTTGTAAAAAAAAAATTATATAGGCATAGTTTTTGGTTTAAAAAACAACAGAAAATTGGCACATCTAACATGATGATTTGACTAGAACTGGTATCTAGAAATGACTTCAATTAAAAACATTGAAAAATAATATATGAAAATCAGCCTAAAATAAAAGTATATACTACTGTGGGGTAGAATAAACTGTTTTAAAACATCCAATAAATGTCAAGAAGTTTGGATAAAATTAGCTAAAACTAATGTTTTACACAATACAAAATATATATAATTACTATGTTGAGTTTATACAGCAAATATACTTAGAAAATCTACAGTGTATCATTAAAAGATTTTCATACGATAAAATAGTTTTGTATGTTCAATCTTGGGGTTGTATCCATGCTTGAGTATTAAAAATAAATCACAATGAATCTTTTAACAACTTTAGTTCAGTAACAATTTGTTCAAATACACATGAAGGGACAGAACAGGTTGCACTAATTTCTTGTTCCACATTACCTAGGTGACTTTTGAATAAACTCAAAAAATCTGTGTTTAAAATAAATGGTAGTCCATAACCTTGAGCTGTACTTTGTTCATAATTGCTATGGATTCTCCACTTGGCAACAGGAATTTTGCTAACAAATGCATTTTTATATTCATTTATAACTTGAGAACTGGAATTGGTTGATTTTTTATCCTGTTTTAAAGCAGAACTAAAGATACTGTTAAAATTACTGGAATTTTGCTGGCTTTCAAGAAAACTGATTCTGTGCCAAGAACAGTCAAAGGAAGCAGGTCTTCGGACTGTTTTACAGTTTTTAACAGTGTCTTGACTACAGCTGACTTCACTATGAGGCTCTGTGCGTTGGTACTGTTCATCTTCTGTGGCTTTCATGAAATAACTTTTGGCACTTAGTATGTGGGATCGACTACAAAAATAACAAAAATAATTGGCTAAACATGAATATTAATTATTATGAAAATAAACATTTGTTTCATTTTTAAGCTATCCTTTCAGCTATTTCTGATGAAAAATAAGTAACATTGTTATTGTGCTTGAATAAAAACAATCTGTAATATCAGCTGAAAATATATATTACATGTTTGCAAAGATTTTTAAATTTGATTACTTTGGGGTTAAAAATGCTACCACGTACATTAAACATATTAACTTACCTAGTTTTAATATTTTGTCCTGCTTTTATGTGGAATAAATGAAGGAATGTTCTGGTTCTGTGTCCTCTATATGCTGCCTAGTAAAAGTAAAGACAGGTTGTTTTGTGAAACGTAAGGACTTTTTGTACAACCTCAAAACATAACACCCAGTTATTGTACATTACAAATCAGTAGTTGAACCTGAAAGGAAGGTCACAATTTTTAATACTTTACTTACAACTAGCATTTCCCCAGCTGTTTTGTGTGTAGTAAAATGGCTGATAAAAGAAATATAATTTTCCTAAAATAATGTATATTTGTTTAATTCAGTAATGTATGCTATGGTGAAATACAATAAGATGCCAAATACTCTCCCTTTCTTGTAATTTACACTGTGCAAATTTTCAATACACACTTCCTGTCCTGTTTGTTAACAAGTTTTACATTCTCTGTAATTTGTCAAGGATTTAGTTCCATATAATTATAATATTTATGCTATTTTATTTCATGACTTAAGCCTGAAATAAAACTGAGAATAAAAAAAAAGGTTTTCTCCAATTTCTTAAGGCAAAAACCTAAATAACTTCTTAACATTTAATTTTACTGTACAAAAACTATAAACTAAATGTAACAATATTTGTAATTTTTGTTGTAAAGATAAACAGCTTTATAAGCACAAATTAAGTAACAAAGAACAAACAGAAATTTACAAAATATGAATGTGATTATCCTGACTAGTTTTGACGTACCATATGTGTATACTGTGTGTGTGTGTGTGTGTGTGTGTGTACAGCGACATTTAGCGAGTGCTGTTTTCTCAGTCTGACTGCTTCATACACATTCCATTGAAAAATGTTTTCCATAATGGCTTCAGTTAAAAGCCCATATCATTGTTTATGAGTTTATCTGCATTCTTGTGTATTTCAATAGCTTCTCTAAATTGTCTTTGGTGAAAATATTTAGGTTCTGCAATGAAATTCATTTCTATGAATTTGATTATATGGTTATTTTGGTATACATGAGCAGCAACGGTTGATTTTTGTATTTCCAAATGGCAGCAATGATCTTCTTGTTTTTTTATTCTTACATTCAATAACTGTTAAGTTTGACCTATGTATACTTTGTTGCATGCACACTGGATCAAATATATTCCTTGTTTCTGGAAACCATTGATGGGGTCTTCCCTTTATTTAGTTTACTTGAAAGTTTTTCCAATAGGTTTGATTTGTTTGTTGTTCATTAATGTACCTATTTTATTTAAGATTTCTGGGTAATAAGGTAAACATATAGATTTTGTTTTTCCACATTATTTCCTTGTCTTTGTTTATAAAACCCTTTTTTGATTTTGTAGAACAACCTATTGATTAAATGGGAATCAAATCCTCATGATACAACATTTTTTAAGTAGTAAATTTCTTGTTCTATTCCTTTTTGGTTTGAGCAGATACTGAGCATATGCCAAATTAATATTTTGTGAACACCAATTATTTGGTTTTATGCATGGTTTGAACTTTTGTGGGGGAATAGACTAACACTGTTTGGTTTTCGATAAAGGATAAAATTTAGATTCAATATGGCAAAACAAAGGGACATGAAGGATGAAATTAGAAGAAATGACCTTCATGGATGAACCAAAGAAAAAGACGTGACACTGGAGCAGTTGGATGATGAATATATGCATCCATCACAACAATTTGGTCATCCACAGTCCCAGGGAAATGCCAGTCGATAAAGTGAGAACTGTTCTAGAATAGTAGGGGGAGCTAGATGCACCAATATAGATGGCACAATATGACTGGTGGAAAGTAGTCACATAATCAGCACATGTTATTAAAGGCACAAAACTGATGGGGTATAAAGACTGGTGTATAGTAGCAAAATTGTTTTAGCAATACTTGGAGCACAGACCAGGATTGAGATAGCTTTAGGTGAGTGGAGGTAGTACCATTTTGGAATAACATTTTCTTCTTGTACAACAGATACAGGTCAAAAAATGATCTGGATCATTGATCATTCTGAATCTGAGAAGGACTCTCTGAGTTTTTGAAAGTGAAATTTGATGCTATCCAATATGAATGCATGCAATCTTAAAAAGGAGCAGCAGGGCAAGGGTATGCAGTCTCGCTGATTGCTCTTGTTCTTTATGATTTTAAAGCTTAACTTGTATTCAATGTGATTTAAGCACCTTTATCATTTATTCTATTACGTCGTCAAGAAATTAATGTCGCATTTGGAACACTTTCATTAACCACCCCCAAAAAACATACATCAGTATAACAGTTAAAAGAACCACCTAAATGTCATGTAAGTGTAGCCTATATAATATGTGAAGTTTAGTATATTCTATCCCTTATAGTGATGGCCCACAACAAGACACATATTCATCATGTAATGCTGTTTGAATACAAGAAGGAAAACAACGCCTCTGTAGCCACAAAGAAGTTTATGGAAATGTTTTCAATGTTCGTAAGTGTCAATGATGGTTCAGCAAATTTCGTTCAGGTGACTTTAGCCTTAAAAACTGTGATGGCAGGGGCCGATATGTTGGAATTGATATTGATGCTCTGAAGACGCTTGTTGAGTCTAACTCAAGGCAACACACTTGTTAAATGGCCCTGAAATTGCATGTCTCTCATGAAACAATAAGTAAACATCTAAAGAATATGGGAAAACGCCATAAAGAAGATGTTTGGGTGCCTCACAAACTTTTCCGATGATCATCATTTCCAACGTGTGAACGCTGCTTCGCCTCTTCTGTCGTGTACCGAGCGTGAACCATTTTTGGATAGAATTGTCATTGATGATGAAAAATTGACTCTCTATGTGAATATTAAATGCCAAAAACAGTGGCTCAGTTCTAGACAAAAACCACTTCCGACCCCAAAACCTGGACTCCATCTGCAGAAAGTGATGCTTTGCATTTGGTGGGACATCAAAAGGAGTAATTCATTTTGAACTTCTCAATCCACAATGAACTGTCAATGCAGAAATCTATAGTCAGAATGTTTAAATCAAGCCCTTCATCAGAAACACCCTACTCTCGTCAATAGGAAAGGTGTTCTTCTCCACAACAATGCACGTCCACATGTGGCACGTTTGACGCAACACAAGATTATGGAGTTGGGTTGGGAAGTTCTCCCCCACCCACCATATTCTCCAGATATGGCACCATCAGATTACCAACTTTTTCTTTTGCTGCAACACCATATTAATGGGAAAACGTATGAAAATGTGGAAGTTGTTAAAGAGGACATTGACATATTTTTTGCTTCAAAGCCAAGTGATTTCTTTAATCAGGGCATTAACAACCTGATTGTAAGATGGAAAAGCATCATCCATAAGAATGGAGACTATTTCATTTAATAAATGTTTTGTTTGAATATATAAATTGTTTGGTTTTTTATCTAAACATTAATTTCTTGACGACCTAATATATACATATATATTTAATTTGAATAATTAATTTCATTTACATTCTTCTAAACATTTATTAGCACTTGTTGTACATATTTTCATTGTGCATGCAATCGAAATCATGACTAAAGAGATACTTAACAGGAACAGATGATTACCTGAATCCTTACAGCAGCGACCTCTAATACTTCAGCAGCTGATGCGCCATTCCTTTCACGAAGGTACTGTACAAGATCAATATGTCCATTGTTTGAGGCACAGTCAAGAGGGGTACATCTACAGAAACATATTTTAACATGATATTACATTTCAACAAACATTGCTTACAACTTTTGTTCATTTGAAAAGATAACAGTTAAAGTGCATTTGAGATCTACTTACATTTAAGTATCCAAGATGCCTAGTAACAGTAGGTTTTTAAATTACAGTCCTAAATTCTATTAGTTAAAATACTGTTTCTTTCATCATTTAATTTTAAAACTAACTTTCTGTTGAAATTTCCTACTTTAAATTTTTTAAAAGTATGGTAATAAGACTATTTGTAAAAAAAGAAAAGATACAAACACACTTCAAAAACATCAAACAAGATGTTAAGAAAATTTATATTAACCATTCATTTCACAACAACCTGGTTCTTTAATAGTAATGCAATAATTTATTGTAATGCCATAGACTATACAAGTATGGAACTGAAAAATATAATAAACATATCAATTCTTCTTATGGACATATGGTTTAGCTGCAGATAAGCAATATCATAAAACAGTAGTAATATTACAACATTTATTTTTATATATTTTCAAGTCATTTTGTAACTTGATAATGAATCGATACTCGCTTAAATTATAGCATAAAAGGGTGACATAACATAAAATAATTTATGTTTATAAAACAACAAACCACACAAGTTTGTCAAGTATTGTGGCAATACTGATTCTCAGAATGAGTACAAACAGCTAAGTGCAGTGTTTCTTAATACTGTCCAATTCAATAAAAATGATGATTACATTACATATGTTTTAAATTATAATACATATATCATTAATTACAAATTCTTCAAATTTAGGCTTTAATGGGACAATTGGCAAAATTACTTATCAATTATTGCCCCACTTAATTGCTGTTGTGTTTAATAAGCAAAATTAAGTTAAATTTACTAAATTTTTGGTTTAGGTGAGTAATATGTTGAAGACTTGAGATAAATTTAAAAACTAATACTTATAACCAACAATATTTGATATAGTAATTATTTATTTACTTTTATAACATTTATACCACTATGTTCAAGGCAAGGTCTTATTCGCAATATAACTGAAAAAAAAACAAAAAACATGCGTAAATATGAATTCTGTTTACTGAATTAAAAGTAAGGTATAGAAAAAGATATACCTGTCTTCAAGTCTTGACATAAAATTAACATTAGCACCATGATTACATAGTAACTCAACCATTTCCAAATTTCCTTTTGTACAGGCCCAATGCAAAGGAGTCTTTCCCTAAAGATATGAAATATCAGTGTTATTAAGAAATGAACACAAATTTAACATGATTAAAAACTGTTTAAAACTTCAAATGTATTCAGCTAAAAACACCTGTAACTTATAAAGTATATAATAAAGAAAAAATGTTCGAAAATATTTTTACTTTATATGTCACTTGTTTAGTGACAATCATTATATGCCTGGTCCCTGAATAGTACCTTTAAGATATCTAAGGTTTTCTTCTGGTCAAGCTGATACTGATAGACACTGAAGTTTGGTAACACATTTCAGTAATAATCACACATCAAGCAAGCTCCACATAGAGGGTAATACACTAAATAACATTGTCTCAAATTATAACCACAGATACCCTTTAAGCAACTGAACTATCTAATAAATACATACAGGACTGTGACAATTAATACACTTCTTCGACAAGTGAAATTATTTTGAACAATAACCTGTGTTAATGTTTTTACACACAAGTGTGAGTAGTAAATGATTCAAATTATATTTTTACTTTTACATACACCATTTTGAATGTTTTTTAAACATCACTTTAAGATTTATCAACTAAAGCTACCTATTCTTCTAAATATATTGTGTCATTATGAATTTCACATGATATGGTTACAAATAGGTCTCACTTTTCAATGGAAATATTGACTATAATAATCATACACACTCAACAAATACTAAGACTTTGTAATGAGAATGTATACAGTTTTAATCTAATTCAGAAAACTATGTTCATCACACTCTTTATTCTTCATAAAGAGAGCATCTTTCAATCTACGGTTGATCCAGTCAATAATAATAATGATAACTCCTAACCCTTTCAAGACAGGTCATGAGTAAAAGGCCATGTCATCTCATTTGTTGACTCATATTCAAAATTTTTATTGAACTAC